AGTACTGACAGAGACTGAAGACCAGGATCCTTCTGGGGTTTTCCAGTTCCAGTTCCAGTTGTCTCCCTCACCCCCTCCCAAGTTGTCTCCTTCACAGTCTTGTAGGGTATCAAAGAGTACTGTTCAGCAACAAGGTTGAGTAGAATTGATAGACAAACTTACTGTTTTGGTCAGTTGGTCATGGGTTCTGGCTGGTTGGTCAATTATTTGCATGTTTGCATGTGAGTGAAATGACCTGTTCCTGGTCTTGTCTGCATGTGTTCTCATTTTTCTTCAGAAATTGAGTTGTTGCTTTTTTACATGTATAAGGTATTATTATTAACATGTATAAGGATTAACAATGTTTGTTTTTATTGTAGTACTCAAACTTTGGTCCTTAAAAGACTCTGGGCAAATGGAGGCACTGGTTGGGCCATACAAGTTGTAGGACACATCTTTCAGAACACTCTGTGGACATGGCTGGCTGTCAGATGAAGTTAGACAATTTACTCTTTGAAGTTTGTATTTCTCCAGTGCAGTCAGTCAAGAAAGTAATTAACATTTTTTTGTTTTGGTTTGTTTTAACAGGTCATAGATGCATATTTGTATCTTCACCTTGAAAAGAGCCAGGTATAAAGATTCTCTTTAGGAAATCTTTTATCCATTTCTCTTGTAAAGATTATATTATTTTTTAGTTCAAATATCTGTAGAGAGAATGGATGCTGTTGTGGCATCATCAATCTTTCACCGTGGTCAGTATCGGGCTGTTCTTAAGGTAATTATTTGCTATGATATCTTACACCATATGAACAAGAGCTAAGCTTTAGGGTTTTTTCTGTCATTTCGAAAGATGGCGCTACCAGAGGCCTCCGTTTGCAGGTGCCCTGTAAATGTGGGAGGTCACTGGCTCTTAGTGGTATGTTAACTTTATTTCTAATACTACATGAATCCAACTTCCATCCATCCATCCATCCATCCATCCATTATCAATATCGCTTATTCCCTGATGGGGTCGCGGGGGGAACTGGAGCCTATCCCAGTGGTCAACGGGCGAGAGGCAGGGTACACCCTGGACAGTCAGCCAGTCCATCGCAGGGCTAAATCCAACTTGTTTTATAATGTTTATTATGTGTATCTCGGATGTCTCCATCTCCCCCTCACACGTGTGTGTGTGTGTGTGTGTGTGTGTGTGCGTGTGTGCATTAACAGGACAATTGACAAGAATACACGCCACAATGGAAGGACATTTTGGATTAACAGGACAGGAGCGATGTCCTTCTAATTCAGACGAAATTATGAAAGTGTAGAATGGTTTCTATTGGTCCACTAACCCTAAAAATGTTTAAAAAAACAGGATGTCCGGTTAATACATATAAACCTGATTTGGTGTAAAATCTGTGTATCACCACAGCGCCCCCTCTGGCAGGTTATGTATTAGCAAGACCTCATGAATATTCACACAGCATCTTATTCTGATTTGCTGTCTGCCGGAAGGTCATTATCATTAATACACTGTCCCTCTAATTCACGTGTTGCTAATTACACTTGGAATGAGTTAGATATTTTCTATTTTTTTATTTATTTATGTATTTATGTACTTGTTTATCTATTTATTTATTTATTTATTATGTAAAGATGAAGCTGTGGAAACCAAAAACTTAAGGCCAATCTCCATCAAAGTCTCCATAAAGTATGGCATTTACCAAGGAGATGCAGG